GTTACTTATTTGGGTTCTTATGAAGATCCGGCATGTACAGTTACTTTTCATGATTGATCCAACTTTGGATTTTGTGATAATCATGGTAAATATTCTCTGTCTATGATTTTATTTTAATGTTTATGAAGTGGCTCATTAAAAGTTCAGACGTGTAGGTTTCAGGTTCCTACTCAGTTTCGAAACCGAAGAGTATACGCAAATCTTTAAAACCTTAAAAAATACAACGAATGGTAAAAAAACATTTCAAGTTCCAAATAAATCTTTAAATGCTAATTTGAATTACCTTCGTGAGCCGTCGTTGGTTCACTTTTTCTTATTTTTCCAAAATGTTTTTCTAATGCTTTTCTTCGGTCACTTTTAGTCTTCATGAAAATTATACTTTAATGGAAAATAAGATAGAGAACCCTTACAGAACTTATTGTTTGGTTCTCTTGAATTAACTTAAATCACTTCGAACACTTTACTTTATAAATGGATCTCGACCTTATTTCCAATCAAAATTAACTTTCCTAATTCCTGGTGGCTTTTTTTTATGCCCTCTCCTAGCCTTGTCTTGGCAAGGGGGGTTTACTTCACCTAGATTTACTGATGTTGAGCCAATCCCTTATCTGCGTCCTCCTTTGAGCAAGGAGCTTTGGCGTCGCTCTGCCAGTCGGCGTGAAGTCATGCTCCGTGAAACTGGTGATATGCGCAAGCATTCATGGCTGTTCTATGAGCCGAATAGTTTCTTTGTGAATGCTGATGAGTGAGTTTTCATATCCTTCCTAGTTCGAAACCGATTCTTGGGTTTCTCTTTAATTTAAATATATATCAACTTGATTATCGTAGATTTATTTTTAATAATTTATTATCTAGTCTCCTATAATTTTGTGCCTAAACATTTTTTGATATGTATGTAGATCCATTATGAACATTGCACTATCAATTTATTTACTTGTTATTCATTCTTATTTACTTAATACCGAACATATAGTCACGAGTTGCTTTCATACCTACTTTCCATAAATTGCCTTTTTTTGCCAGCACTCATTGCTTCGCTATTCAAAATCTTGGGTCTAGTGTCTTCTGAAAGATAATGAATCCCATCAGCTTTAAACAAGACCCAAACATTCATTTACCTTGTGAAATGATTTTCCATTTCGAAGGGAAGTTCGGTTGGAAGGAATTCCTGATGTGGTCTTACCGGAAACAGAAGTGTTGCCGCGTAGGGAAACCTGTTCAATAGTGCGAAGAAATCTTCGGCTCACCGTGCTGCGACCCCGATGAAACGGTGCTGAGCTTTCGTCTGTACTGTGAAAGACATCATCAAAGCAGGTATCCATACCTCACGAAATAGAGCAAAAATAAACGAAACCAAGAGAACAGGTGGCCGCCTGCAACTCCAGTCGTTTTTTTATACAGCTGACTGCGATCTTAATGAGGCATCCCATGATTTGATTGGCTACTTCTACCTTACTATACATGCTTACAGATGAGTGAAGTAACTTCCCGAACAAGAAGTGCGTTCGGTGGCAGCTGCTTCCTTACACAAATAAACTAGTGTACTATCCCCTAATGTTGAACTATGTTTGGGCCTGTTCCATTGTTTATTATGTCTATGTATTGTTCATATGGGAAGTGTGATAGTCATAGCTAGACTCAAGGCTAATCCATCCTCCTTCACTTGTTCAGTTGCTCTCTATGCACTCCTTTTACTTCCTTCTCCTTAAGCCTATCCAATAGCCACAAATAGTTCCTACTCAGTTTTCAACATTATTCAGGACTTTGGCTGTTTTGTCAATTTCTATAGCCTCCCTAATCTTGCGCTCTGATGTGAAGTCCCTGTAACCCGTGGTTGTTAGATGAGAGGGAGTGCAGGAAGAACCACTCAACAAGAGGCAGATTTAGCCTTGAGCCTAGCTAGGACTATTACACTCCCCACAACATGAACATTACATACACACAATAGACAATAGCACAAGCCCAAACATGATTTAACATTAGATGAATGTACACAAGCTTATTTGTTTAAGGAAACAGCTGCCACCGAACTCACTTCCGGTTCGTGAAGTAACTTTACTCATTTGTATGCATGCAGAGTAAGGTAGAAGTAGCCAACCAAATCATTGGATGGATCGTGGAATTAGCTGTATAAAAAGTTCAGCACAGTTTCATCGGGGTCGCAGGACGGTAAGCCGAGGACTTATTCGCATAATTCATCAGTCTTTCCTATGCAGCAACTCTCCTTCGGTTTCTGCTGAGGCCACATCACGAATTCCTGTCAGCCAACTTTCCCCTTGAACTGTAAAATCATTTCACAATATATCAATATCGAAACCCAATTTTTCTTCGTATCATTGATTTGCCTTGCCCTTAAAGAATAGCCCTACGATTAACTTAATCATTCGACGACAATTTATTATCGCAGACCTTTTTGCATTATACCATTTGTAATCATTTCTGGGATCCATGCTCCTACGGCCACATCTTCCCTAACTACTCATGTAAGGATTTTGATAAGCATTTTATCCAGGCTTTGTGACAGAAAGCGTATTATTTACAAACAGGCTTAGGCAAATTTATCAATCTAAGGGTTAAAATATGTAATGAAGAGTTTCATTAATTTTGTAAGTTAAACTATTAACATCCGCATTTTAAAAGCTGGTACATTACTGCCATGCATTTGAATTTTTTCATAATTCGTAGAGTTCTGATTTTTGCCTCTGGCTTTCAATATTTAGCTATCTCTTTTTCCTCGAATTTTTTCCCTCTACATTTTATTCTACTCTATTTACTCTATTATTGCCTTTCTATTCTTTGCCCCATTCACCCGATGGTGCTTGATGTCCCCTCAGCTTGGATCGGCTAGAGTATGGCGGTATTGCACTCACTCAGGGCGATCCAGTTGTTCGCCTCGATCCAGACTCACGGCTTGCCACTCTTGCCAGTGGCCGCCGAATCAGCTATGGAGTCTGCCTGTTGGCCACGGGTGCTGAGGCTAGGCGCCTAGCTGAAATCGAGCGATGTGGAGAGACGGGAGCAGACTTAACTGGGCCCGGGAACGGTCGAGTATCTTATTTCCGCAGCTTGGCTGATTTTGTGTTAGCTCACCTGAACATGCTTTTATTTATGCATTGTCTTAACCACTAGCCAGTTGATCTAATAGGGACTGCATCCAAGTTTCACTCATACTCATAAGATTGTAGGAACTTTGCTTATGTCCAAACTATTTAACAACTATTCATATTTGGACCAATCAAACAATAGCATGAAGGTGCTGGCCTGAACTTGTTTTTGCAACTTGGTCGCAGCGTCAGGGAGACGTTGTGGAACGTACCTAGTCCTGTGCTCTCTCATAGTATTCGTGATTTCCAGCTTCGGACCACTAACTTGGTATATTCCCAAACGTTTCCCTGACATCACCATTGAGAGGCGCCATCGTTAGCAGAGTCACAACT